TAATTGCTATTGTCTTCCTACGACGATACTCTTTGGTTAACGCTAACCTGTAAACTGTTACATTTAGGATAAAAATCAATATGAAGTTTACCCCTTAATAGCCTGAGCGATCATTTCTTTACCTGTAACTGGTACCCCTGGAACATTTCTAATTGGTTTACAAATGAAGTATCGAAGTGAGAAGTAAGCTCTCGGTAGAGTCATCGAAGAGTCTTGTAAGACGACATGAAGAATACCTAATACACGGGATGAAACAGCGGGACCCTGACTTAACTAGGGTTAAAATAAAGGAAGTCTTCGTCAGTTCCCTCCTCGAGTGGTTTTGGACGGACACGTAGAAAGTAAGACCGGGGGTGGGTGTTAAAGTTAGGAGAAGATGGTCTACATTTTTACCTCTCTGGTAAGGAATGACCGATAAATGACACAGTCCCCCTGGTACCAGGTTATCTCATCGTTTTTGCCCCTGCCAGGAGATTTTTGTAGGGGGGAAAAACACGCGAACGTAGGAACAGTCGTTTGTCGGTACATTATCCGATTAAGATTACGTCCGTCCAAAGGTCGGTCGGGGGGGGGGTGTGTGTGTGGGTGACAGGGTGTGGATGGGATACCTACAATTAGACTCACCGTGCGGAAACTGCCCTTACTTCAAGGAGGTTGAAGGGAGATTTTCGAGGATTGTCAGCTCGTACATCGATCAGTCTGATTAGACGTCTCCACCTCACTACGTCTTAATGCATACGGGTTGTATACTGTATAGGTTATAGAGTCCTAAACGGCTTGTTGGAGCTCCTGCCCCCCCTCTCTATGAGCCAGTGGCCGTCTGCGAGACAGCGAAACCCAGAGAAACCCAGCCCGAAACCAGCTCGAACACACACACACCCGCAGCCTGGCTGGGAGATTGTGTGTGTGCTCACACACCGACTCACAGCCTTGCCGCATCCCGCCGTCTCAGGGAGGAGACATTTGGGGGAGCTGCAGCTGAGAAAAGATTGAGTGTGTGTGTGTGTGTGTGTGTGAGGAAGTCTGCGGTTTGGTCCATTTGGACCAATCCACGGACTTAACCTAACGGCTCCGCGGACGTAACGGCTCCACGGATTGGTCCATTTGGACCAATGGGTCCATTTGGGTATGGGCACGTCACTGTACCTGGGAAGAAAACAATGGAAAAAGAGAAATCTCCAACAAGGCGTTCTGTGGCAGCACAGACAGGTATTTTCTGTGTTAGAGTTTTACTCGCTACAGGGTGTACTTTGAGGGTTTGTGACTTTGCAGACCGTTTACATGCAAAAAAACCTTCATAACACCCAAGGGGACGGGTAATAACCGGAAAAGCATGATATGGGACCTTTAAGACTTTTGTAAATCCTGTGCATTCATCTTTAGTTTCCTTGAGATGAATCCACTTCTTCACTGAATGGTCAGATACTTGAGTCGTCAAGACATTGTGTTTGCGTGGCCATGTGTGTACTTGACACCCTGAGAAGCCAATTCCACGAGGCTATAACACATACAACATATGTATTTAGATAAAGGGACACTTAAAATCAAGAGTCTTGAACAACGGCACATTTGGTCTTTGATATTAGTCATCCTTTCATTCAGCAGCAGGATCACGTTTTTAGTGGGTTTATTTGAACGTGATAGATTGTGCTTAAAGTAAGGTAAGAAATATGAAAATAAACTGATTGAGCTTGTTGTGTGAATGATGCTGACAGTGGGATTGTCACAATGTCTCCAGACTACAAACGCCCTGATTTGTCACTCATCTTAATTGACAGACTGGGGATATCTGTTTCCTTGTAGCAGATGTGCTTTGTAAAATTATTTGAAAGAAAAAAAAGACAAAGCTATCCTAGATCCCTGCACCAGCACTTTGGCAAAGGTCACAACATATTGCTTTAAGTATTCAGGGCTGGCCAGAAATCTCATGGTCAAAGTCTTGTGATAGATTTCTCAGAGGGATGTCTAGAGTTTCACTGTGCTACGTTCAATAAAACTTAGCTTCCCACCCAAGGTCTCTGCTACTGGCAAGTCCTAGAGAGAGGTGTAACTGAAATACTTTTTCCTCTCTGGAAAGCACTTTCAGAGCATCTGCAAATGGGGCTCTTTTCATTGATCCTGGCACAGTTCCCCAATATCAGTCAATCGAAGAGTTTAAGAGTATTTCTAAGTGGGACTCTGTCAGTGTTCTTACATTTCTACACTTGCACTTTAAAAAAAGAAAATAGGGTGATCGCTAGTGGCATACATATTAAAGTTCTGCGCAACAGAAATACAAAGAAACACAATAGGCGCGTTCACACCGCAGTACTTTTCCCACTTTAGTTCTGATATAGTTCCGAAATGTCGCGTTCACACCAAAAAGAGCCGGAACTAAAATTTGTTCATCAGAACCTTTTTTACCCCCTTTTCTGTCCCTGCTAGAGAGCAGGGGCTTTCGTGGGAGAAAAAGGTTCCTATGACAGATTGGCTGGGCGGAATCCAAACCACGCCCCGTAAAACTCCCAAAAGGTTTTGTGAAGCCGCCATGTTATAATCCTCGCATTAGCATTATTAGCATTAGCATTAGCCCAGTGCAGAAACACAGAGAGACTAACTTATTGCAACACAAAAGAAAACATGGGAGCGGTGGAGATGAGGAGGTGTCGGCGTTCAGGCGATTTACTCGGAAGGCTTCAGGCTTCAGCAAGAAGCTGCTGGGAGTCCCAGCAGCTTCTACTGAAGCCAGTCCCTACCTCCGGGGACTTCCGGCCGGGACATGTCCACCCCGAAAGAGTACCACTACGGTTCACGTGTGAAACGATCGGACAGTAACAAAAGGCTTACGGTCCTGTGCATAAGAACGGAGCTGAAAACTTCGTCCTGCGAGTCGCTGTGGACAACGGATGGTTTCGTTCGCATGAGCTGTAACTCTTTTTGTGGGTGGACAGTCGTAAAGAATAGTACTACTTGAACATCCTAATAGCCAACAGGTGGTCACTACAAAACAGTTTCAATAAAAGGAAACAAACACCAAAGGTCCCCAAAAAGTTGTGTCACAGAAACATAATAATTATTTAGGGACGTTAATACACAAACTATAACACAAATAGTCCATCTTCCTCAAAAATTTTTTTTCACGTTCCCAACTACCCCTTATCCACTCAACAGTGAACTGCCCAGAAGTCCAAGTATTAGTAGGGCTCCAAAACACACGCCAATAAGAAAAAGTATGATAGCGTGACCAACAATTATAATAAGATATTCCTAAAATGTAAGCAACCCCGAATAGATTATTCTTAAAGGCTTATTGACAGTGAAACAGTGGTAAAAAATGCAAAATTGATAAAATATTATAACATAACGTTAAGAGAGAATTTGTGGCTCGGTTTTAGAGCTGATAACATCCCGAAAGTGGGCGTCATGAATCATCAACCGTCACTTCCAAGTACTCTTGGAAATCAGGTACTCTTGAGGAACAAAAACTACTGTGATTCGAAGCTTAAGCGCAAGTGGTGGGTCTTAGGCAAGGGACCCCCGTTCCCAATCCGTTTACTTACGGCCGACTGCAGGAAGAAGGAAGAAAAGACGGAAACGCCATAATGACCCGTCCGGCGTCTTTTTTTGAAGTGGGCCGTCATAATGACCGGTGGNGTTCCAGCAGGAAAAGCTGGAGGCCGGAAAAGAGTGAGACAGGTAGCGCGCAAAAGTAAAAGTGGAACCGAGAGTGGTACGAGAGACAGAACGAGAGCAAGACAGACAGACATTACGAGAGCGAGACAGTTTGTCCCCGTACCACTGCTGTAGATCACTGCCGGTACGTGCACTGGGAGTTTGAAAGTTGAAAAGTTTGTGTGTCTGAAACGCTATGTGATACAGTACAGTTTACACAGCACAGTACATGTTCTGTAGCTACTATTGCACTAAATGGTAACACTTGAATACGCTATGCAAATATTCAACTTGTTTGTTGAAATGTTAATAAATGGGAGCTTCCTCAAACAGCCATCTCTTTCCCGACAATCCCCTCAGTGCACGAACGGATACATATGGTAATTAAACATTAAAACACCTGCGGCTTATAGTCCAGTGCGGTTTATATATGTACACATCATTCAATTTAGCTGCTGCGGCTTATATTCAGGTGCGCCTTAATAGTCCGAAAATTACGGTATCATTATAGTATTACTATTTCGGCGATTAGATCTAATATAAATTATATTTGATGCAACTTTAGTTATATTTCCATGACTTTTCCAAAACCTTGGGAAAAATATTGTTTTCCATAACTTCTCCAGGGCCTGGAATTAGCCTTTTAGATTTCCAGGTTTTTAATGACTGTAAGAACCCTGGATTGGGCTGTTGGTGTAAAGCCAGCCCACATTTCCGATATTACATCATATCGGCAGCAAATCTGGATCAGCTCCGTTGTACCCCCGTTTTAAGAGATGTGGGTACGGAGGGAAAGAGAGAGGGTTTTATTTTCTGACACTTTGTGAGTCTACTGACACACCGGGGATTTGTGTATAAAAGACATCGAAAAGTGCATTTTGCATGATAGAAGACCTTTAGACTAAGCTAAACCCCAGCCTTTGATGACTTGAAGTGTTGCGCTCTCTGACCTGAGACATGATCTGTTCCAGCCAGTCCTCGTGGTGCTGCGGGTTAGCCTTAAGCCATTTCACGGCTGCGTTGTACACCTGTGTTTCTGAGTGAATGTTGAGTTCGCTGGAGGACAACAAGGTGCGCAAGTGCTTGGGAGACACGCAGGTGAAGTCCTCGCACTCCGTCACCTCAGTGAAGTGTTCGCAGGCGTAGCGGTCGGCCATGTCCATCAGGTCCACGCGATTGTGGCTCTCAGCGAAGGTACGTACCGCCAGGCAGTTTGTGGGGTGAAAGTGGGCCTTCATGTACTCACAGCAGGCTCTCGCCACCAATTCCACCTGAGATAAAGCAAATAAACGGAAATAGGATTAACAGATGATGTATTACCTGAAAGCAACAATTCAGAGACCCTTAATTCATGCAAACTAAGGAGGACAAAGTGCATGAAAGCTTGGTGTTGTTGATTGTTTGTGTTTACCTGAAGGATGCAGGCAGCATACAGCAGAGGTTGAACATTGTCCACAGTTAATGTGAGCTTTGAGGAGTAAGCGAAATGCACCAGGTCCTGGATGGCGTCACCATCAAAGTCCTTGATCTCTATGAGGTTCTGCTTAGCCTCGGACATCTCTGACAGGAACATGGCCCTGAGGGAAGAAATTACCACAACGTTTCAAATATTTTTGAATTCAGCTAAAGAAGTTCTTATATTTAGAACACTGTTATCATCTCCATCTACACAAAAGAACAACAAAACCACGTTCATGTGTTTTCACAGATATAATAACAGACACAGGATCCAAGGACCTGTGGGAACCCAAATATCAACATACCAGAACGAACACAGCAATTTGATCTAAGCCTCTTTATATAAATGTTACATGAAATCAATTTTAAGATTAAATATCCATTACCAAGGTAAACAAATATATATATATATTCAAAAAATAGAACATAAAGATGTCCCATACCTGAAGTAAGGGATCACACAAGCCAGCACTAGCTTGTGGCATGGTATCAGCCTACTGCCAACCTACAAAGAGACACAAAACACATGTTTAAAAAAACAGGGGGGAAAATACAGAATATTGTGGTTTTGGCAGCGAATAAGGGATTGAAGAAGATAATAATTAACATGAATTTCTGATTAATTATTCTATACAACTTTTTTTAATCGCAACCTTTAACATGACAATACTGACAAATTTGTAAGACAAACAAATCTCCCACTTTACTTGAGTCAGATTGAGTGACCTACCTTCAGCGTGACGTCACAGAGCTCTCCTACTTCATAGAAATGTCTGAGGGAGTTATGGAAATCTTTCCAGGCCTCATGAGCCTCGAAGATAAACGACCCATCCGGCTCACAGTCTGCTTTCGGTGCCTTGATCGCAGGACGCTTCTCTTTGGGCTTCACCTGCTTGATATGGTCTGGCACCACATCCCCTGGAGCCATAGCTGGCTACAGGTAACAACACCTATAGGGTAGAGAGGATTACATTATTAATGAAAAATCTACTGTGATATTCAATTGTTTCTTCTTTATTTTTTCAGAGAAAATTCTCTGATTCCAGCACGTCATCTTCACAGTTTCTTTCCTAAAAACTTGAACAATAACTTGAATATTGATTTTTGAAACCAAATACCCAATTGATAGGCTGTGAAGGAAATGATAAACAATAGATCATCGGCCCGTTCTCAGCTAAAGGCAGGCCAAATGTTCACTGCCTTTGACTGCATGATGTAAGAATACCTTGCAATATGAAATAGAAACCACAACTCGTGCAAATAACCTTCTGCAGATTTCCATGGAGGAAACAAAAGCGGAATCGGTGGCGGGGGACACTGCCAGCCAGCTGAGCAAGTTTGGTCAGTATTCCTCTCCCTTTCAGTGCCACTTCCCCTTCAACTCATTCCTTCAACAGAGGCAATACATAAAACATGCAGATTCCTCTAAGCTTACATGGCAGATCAGGCAGAGAACAACTGTGCAATGGAACCCATAACAATTCCTACCTATTGATGAAGCTGATGAAAAATCTCCACAGCTGATATTTTCACAGAGAAACTGAAGCAGACAGCCAGAGGCCAGAGCTCCACCCACATCTTTCAGATGATGCCGTCTCTCTCTTAAGCTATGTCTCTGACACTGAATAGACAGTGTATCGCCCCCTCATCACTAGTCCTCTCAGCTATAAGAGCAGAAACATCAAGTCACATCATATGCACTAGTGATCAAAGGCTCTCTATCTCCACTTCTGATAGGCTTCATCTATGCAACCACACGTAGGGACTTTGTAATATTCCCTTAACTCAATGACAGATTCAGGACTTTCATATCCTTAAGATGATAACATTGTCAAGTTGTATTATTTATGAGGAGTGAGATATTCAATAATTTAAAAAGGACTCTGCTGAGTACAAACTGAAAAACAAATGTGGCGACAGCAACCTATTTTTAAATGCGTACATATTATTTCAATGCATCTGCATACAAAAGGGACTCCATTAAGCAACCAAAATAACCCATTAGATATAAATGTGTAGAAAACCTCTCTATGCACTCATCACACCAAGAGCACACCGCAACTACACTTAATGCTGTGCTTCTATAGTTTGCCCTCTGATCACAGTATTATTATTATGACAGTAAATACACAATTATTTGAGCTTTCATCTGAATTAAAGTTTGTTGTAATATTTCAAGATAATGAGGCAGATTGCGAAAAGGAATGATAATTGTCAAGCAGACTTATTGAAACGCAGAAGGCAGGACATATATTGTACATCTACAGTATGTATTTCTTCAGATTACACATCACACATGCACGTTTTACTATTTTATCTATACCTAAGAAGTAGATCGTTTTTGCCATCCAAACATGGTGCAACGTTAATCCCATATCTCCAACTAATTATGGAAGTGTGGAGCAGAGTACTTCAATCTTGTACTTCAGTAAAAGTAAAACTACCAGAGGGTAAGAATACTCTGTCACAAGTTAAAATCCTGCAAATAAAATGTTACTCATGTAAAAGTACAAAAGTATCAGCATCAAAATGAACTTGAAGTACCAAACGTAAAAGTACTCATTATGCTGATTGGTCCATACCAGAATAGTATACTACATGTTTTGATTATTATTATTGATGCATTGGAGTGTTATTAAAGCTGGTAAAGGTGCAGCTAGTTTTAATGACTGTATACTGCAGGGTAGCTTGTGAATGTTACTCCAGGTGTAAACAAAGTCGTGTTGAATATATTTCACATCATTAAACAAATTCTGCAAAGTAACTAAAGGTTATGGCGTAAAACACACAATTTATCTGTGAATTATAGGGGATAGAAGTACAACGTATCAACACATGACATTGAAATACAAGAGAGTACAGAACAGTACTTCAGTAAATCTACTTAGTTACTTTACACCACTGCTGTGCAGGACACTTTTTCTAGCACATGCCCGAATGTATGTCACAAAGATGGTGTCAAACTACTCCTGGACACTATAATAAAGAGAATATTTAAAGCAAGCAAACATTTAGGATAAAACACCACGTATAACGTTACTGCAAATATCACGCACGCCTAGCCAGTTCAATGTAAACTATCACTAGCAGCATCTTGAGTCAGAATCATGTTTGACCTGTACACACTTCTCGGGTGTGATACCAAAGCATGCTCATATTGATCGCAATCATGTTAACACATAACTATTGGTAAAACAATTGACAAAACCTCGATTCAAAATCTAAAACACAGTTATTAGTTTGTTTGACCAGCTCGGGTTATAAGGGGTATGTTAGTTAATGTTGCCGCATACGTACCGTGATAACATCCTATAGTTAAAGTTGGACCACATGGAAGTGTGTCTCTCTCTGAAACCAGGAAAAATAACTACCCGACTCTAATAAGTGCGATAAAGCTATCTAGACTATCAATTACGGTATTATCGTTAACGGTTGGCTTGTTTGCTAACGGCAACTAGCAAACAGTTAGCTTCCGCGTATAGCTAATGTTAGCATGCAGGGAGCGGAAGGGATTACGCCGTGAGTTTAGCGATAATATTAAATTTAGAATGCCACAAATGACTATAAGACATTGGACAATGGTTGAGCTATTTCAAAAATATTTAATTTAGATACCTCATGTCGCAGCAAGAATTAAGACGCCGGCTTCATTGAGCGGAATGTTTTTTATTTTTGGCACGTTTGTTGTGATTCCAGGTGCTTCATGGGAATTGTAGTTTTAAGTATTAAACGCCAGCTGAAGGAACGTAATGAAACTGAAACCCTGCCAAATGCTTTTTTCCGCGAAAAAAAGGATGGTTCTGCAAAATGACTTCTTCATTATGATTCTCAATATTGTATTGCATTGCAGTAAAGGGCTTCAATACACAATGCTGGTTGAAAGCAACCAGATTTAAGTAAATGTATTTTTGTTTCTAAATCTTAAAAATGTGATACCTTAAAATATCAAATTGTTTCACATTTTTTAAATAATTACAGAGGTCCGGCAATAATGCGTACAAGGGTCTAGCTAAACTGCTAAAGTTTCTTCGCTTTCCCAATCTAATTCAAGAATAAATGTTCATCATACAACTTTTCTAACACCTCTAAAAGTATTCATATCAAAGCTGATTTTAGACTATTGCTTCATATTTGGGCTCAACTTCAGATAATTTGCTTTAAAACATCCCCGCAAATAGTGTGCAGTTAAACCTGAAATAAACACATAGTGGTATGGCAAAGAGATTATCTGTCTTCTGCCTCACTGCACACAGGTTTAAGTTAATAAGGCACTAAAATACAGAATAATGTGCAAAGTAAAGAAATGTTAGACTGTAATGAGTCTGACAATTGTTATATAACTATATTGCCAAATTAAATCTTTGCTAAAATTATACATTAACACCATCTCATCATGATTTGAGTTCCATTTACTGTATATCAGTGCACTGTCTGCATATTTAAGATTTTAACACCAAACATATTTTTCATAGAAATTATTCCCCAGGCATTTTGATCCATATAAGAGTTTGATCTCTGTTATAGTGATTACTTCAATGAGTTTGCACTGTACGGTAAATTACTGAAATTCCAGTAAGTCGAACTGTGACTAATGAGAGGCTTTTGATCAAGGAGGGAGAAAAGGCTTTAACAAACAGAACACAAAATAATGAGACTTATACAGAAACCTTCACACAATAATGACCAAATATTGTTTATTTCAGAATATTGTAAATGGATACAGGTTATATGCTGAAAATAATACATTGATAAACTGACCATGTTTGACAGACGAGGCAAATTCATCATAACATGTCCTTCTAGTGCAACTTCTTCTTTTTTAGGAGTGAGTCCCGTAGAGCAATCTGAAAAAGAAAAAATATTTAAATTACGACTTTATATTCAATAAAATCAATTAATCTGCAGTGAGATACAGTATCTGTTTCTGACAGGTGTGACTGACCTGTTTGTCTCTGAAGGAGCGTTTGCCTTTAGTTCTGACGCTGTCGCTGTGTCTCATCATCATGAAGTTCTTAGTCTTCCTCTTCTCCTTGTTGCTGGTGCTGGCGAAAGGGTTGAGCTTCTGGTGCTTCTTATGAAAGTCCTTCCGTTCTGACCTTCCCGCCTAAAATCAAACGCACCATTAGAACGGAAATGGTTAGTTGATCAATTAATTGTTTGATCAACAGAAAATGTATCAAAAAACAGTTTAAATAATGAAAAATGCTAAGAAATGTACCGGTCCCAACTCTTATTTTGTGAATATTTAGTGTTTTCTAGTTGTACAATGATAGTAAAACATATATTTTTCCTGTCATTTTATAGACCAAATGATTAGTTAAGACAATAATCAGTAGGAATATTATATGTAATGGAAATAATTATAAGATGCAGCCACGTATCATTGCTTACCCTCACATTATACAAACTGCTTGTTAATGACATTTCAGAATCAAAGGTGTTTCAGCAGGTTAGGAAACAATGATTTCACATCAGATATACTTTAAATCCCTCTACAGTTAACATAAAGGTTTACCTTTGCTGTTGCCAGGCGAGTGTCCTTGTCGTCTTTTGGTTTCTTATGCAGTTTCTCAATATGCCTCAAGGTTAGCACCTCTCCTCTGAAAGAATGGGCAAAAAACAACAACATAGTCTCTTTATCCTCCCAACAACTATTGTGAACACAATTTCATATGTGTAAATATTGCTTTAAGCTTTTTGTACAAACAGCTTTCCAACCTGTTGTCCTCCTCTTCGTCGAGGTCCACATTTGTCCTCTTCTGGCCCTTTCCTGGCGCGTTGTCGATCTCCTTGGCCAGCTGGACGAGTCGGATCTTCTTGAAGTCTTCCTGAGTGAGGAGCCGGCTGCCGCTGACCGCCGCCGCTTTGACCTTTCTTTCCTCAACTGGCATATTCTGAAGAATCTCCGCCTGACAGAAACACACAAAACTCATATTGTAACACAAATACCATACACAACTAACATCAGTTAATAATCGGTAACGTTTTATTCTTACCACTTCTGCTGTGTCTTCATCACCCGAGTGGTGAACGTCCACCCACTCCCCATCGTCATCACCATCACTGATACTGGCGCTCTCCCAGCCATCTGTTGGACAATATGGAAAATAGGCACATTAGCCTTACATTGATCATCTTCCAACACACATACACAGAGCAGCAAGACCATAGCTGCTCACCTTGTTCTTTCTCTCCATCTTTTTCAATCTCCTCCACCTCCAGGACTTCAGCTCCAGGGATATAATCTTTAGCCTCGAGCTCTCCGTAGTTTTTGATCTTGGCCTCTGCTGACGCCTCTGTGGGTCTCCCCTGGAAAAAACAAGTGGTAGAGTTTACAATTATTTACTATTTAAAAAGACACAGTGATGAAGTGGTCTGTCAGTCTTGCAATAGGAACAACAAGGGTCAGAGCAGACCTCGGCCAAATGCCCTTTCTTGCAACAGTAACAAAAGTGGAAAATTATCTGCTTTGTGATTCGGTTTTGCTTTATACATCTAATTTGCTCTTCCTTGGACCATAATACACTAAAACCAAGTTTCATGAATATTGCTCTTGTAGCTTCTCCCCAATCCTAACGAAAATCTATATAATAATAGTCATAATGATCTGAATTTAAGGTAACCCTAACCCTAAAAACATTATTGCCACAAAAATATAAAAGAAAGGTGGCACAACACACTGGGAATGTCATCCCCTATATATACAGAGGGGCAAAAAAGTATTTAGTCAGCCACCAATTGTGCAAGTTCTCCCACTTAAAAAGATGAGAGAGGCCTGTAATTGTCATCCTAGGTACACTTCAACTATGAGAGACGAAATGAGAAATAAAATCCAGAAAATGACATTGTCTGATTTTTAAAGAATTTATTTGCAAATTATGGTGGAAAATAAGTATTTGGTCACCTACAAACAAACAAGATTTGTGCTCTCACAGACCTGTAACTTCTTCTTTAAGAGCCTCCTCTGTCCTCCACTTGTTAACTGTATTAATGGCACCTGTTTGAACTCGTTATCAGTATAAAAGACACCTGTCCACAACCTCAAACAGTCATACTCCAAACTCCACTATGGCCAAGACCAAAGAGCTGTCAAAGGACACCAAAAACAAAATTGTAGACCTGCACCAGGCTGGGAAGACTGAATCTGCAATAGTTAAGCAGCTTGGTGTGAAAAAATCAACTGTGGGAGCAATTATTAGAAAATAGAAGACCACTGATAATCTCCCTCGATCTGGGGCTCCACGCAAGATCTCACCCCGTGGGGTCAAAATGATCACAAGAACGGTGAGCAAAAATCCCAGAACCACATGGGGGGACCTAGTCAATGACCTGCAGAGAGCTGGAACCAAAGTAACAAAGGCTACCATCAGTAACACACTACGCCGCCAGGGACTCAAATCCTGCAGTGCCAGACGTGTCCCCCTGCTTAAGCCAGTACATGTCCAGGCCCGTCTGAAGTTTGCTAGAGAGCATTTAGATGATCCAGAAGAGGATTGGGAGAATGTCATATGGTCAGATGAAACCAAAATAGAACTTTTTGGTAAAAANATCCTCGCATTAGCATTATTAGCATTAGCATTAGCCCAGTGCAGAAACACAGAGAGACTAACTTATTGCAACACAAAAGAAAACATGGGAGCGGTGGAGATGAGGAGGTGTCGGCGTTCAGGCGATTTACTCGGAAGGCTTCAGGCTTCAGCAAGAAGCTGCTGGGAGTCCCAGCAGCTTCTACTGAAGCCAGTCCCTACCTCCGGGGACTTCTGGCCGGGGACTTCAGGTGGCAGTATACGGCGTGAAGTTTTTTGCGGCCTGCCAGTAAACCCAAAGCAGAAGAAGAAGAAGTGACGTCAGCGGCTTCATTTGCCTAACCCTTCCCCCAGGAACTGATTCTGGTGTGAACGCGATCTGTACTTAGTTCATGAGAACTAAGGAGTTCTCATGAACTAAGTTCTCATGAACCTTACTGCTAACTACTAAGTACTGCGGTGTGAAAGCGCCTAATATAGATTTTTGCTCGGTTTAAGAGAGAATGCATACATATTATAAAATAGTTAAAACGTAAAAATGGTGACAAAGTGACAGTTATTCGTGAAATTCTTATTTAGATACCCAACTGAATGGTACATTCCTTATAAATAATATTTAACAACAGTGCTGATATATATTATTAAGAAAGCCTGGGGCTGAACGCAAAACCTCGGGATGATTTGAATGAACCTGGAAGACCCCGTCAGTGGACTTCTCACCTATTCCCATCTAACTCTGCACTTTTTTTAAAACTCCTTCTCCTGTATACTCATAATAGTCAATACACATTATGCAGGTTTTATTATAATACTGATTGCTGTGTTGAAAACCCCCTGGAAACCACCAGGAAAATAACTTTGTCTTCTTCACTGGGTGGATAACAGCATCATTTTTTTGGGATTAAAATATTCCTCTGTTCATCATGATAATGAATATGTGACAGTGGGTGTTTCTCAATGTCGAGTACGCTTGCTTGGTAGCACATGTCTGCTGAGCGTCTTGCTTCAGAAGCGAGGCAAGAATACTTCCTGGCATTCGGAAAACAATGAGTGGAACAGGCTAGCAAGTGTGCACTTGTGCATCACATGAGAAGCCCCACCTTACATTTTCCGCCACAGATTTGGGGAAATTGGTCCGTGCATAAAGCATTGTGGTAATTTTAAGACCGCAGAGTCTACACATGTGCAGCCTCAAAATTTCTCCAAACAAAGTACGCCGGGCTTGGTAGATTTCCAAGTATGCTGGACATTGGAACAGTACTTTGGCGGCACTCGATGACGTAGTATGCTTGAAATAGTGGCTCTGGAGCAGCTTTACTCGCGATTGAGAAACACCTAGTGTCCTCATTGCACCTTTAGAGCTACCCCAACTTTATTCTGTTCAAGAAGCCTTCACATTCATGGATTTCTGTGTGTTATGGCTCACTGGTCCATGAAACATTGGTGCCAAGATGCCTCATAAGCACAAAACGATCAGCGTCACTTTGGCGCAATTACATAAAATGGTGCCACCAGGAACGCCTTGCTACTGTACACGATGTTTCAAAGTATCATGACAAGGCACAATCAATGCCATTTTGAAACTATCTGTTCAGTGACCGCATTGGCTTCTCATTTCCTTCATTGGTATGCAAACAGCTTATCATTTATCTCTCGTCTCATTGAGTACATACTAAGAGCTTGAATACAAAAATGTAAGCCAGTCTTTTGCTTCAAAACAGCAGTTATTTAATCCTAAAAATGACTATTGGATTAAAACAAAAAAGATGTATGTTTGTCCCCTTTCATCTCACTTCTAAGCACTGCGCTGCCCAGACCAAGAACTGTTGGAGTAATGTGAAAATGTAGCAGCCTCATTCAGAAATAGTTTCTATTCAAGCCCCTGCCAACTTACCCACTGTCTGGAACACGGCACAAAAGGAGTCTGGTTGGTTTTTGCCAGGGCTGTCCTTTGTGTCATTGCATTGTTATTAATTTGAGTTTTTTTCACACTGTTTACGGACTGGGAAAAGAGGACATCCAGGCAAGCTGGGAATTCTCACCATACACTCAGATGGACAGTGGTCAATGTTTGACTGAAAAACTATTTGGACTCTGCAATAAACACAGAGGTACTATGTGTCTCCCTTCTGTCTTTAGTAGTGACGGGCTTATGATGATTGTTCAGCCATACTGTATATCCTAATTGGGGCTCTGACTGTAGTGTATTATACTGTTGATTCCTTTTCTTTTTTACTAAGTCTTAAACAGGTCCTTTGATCCTTATGCTGTGCACTAGGGCAAGCCAGATTTCTTGCAGAGGAATTAATATATTTGGCCTGTGTTGTGTGTAGGTCTTACAGCTACTGAGGTTGTGCTTTTGCACCTTTTTATACAGGTGGTGCCTCTTTACCTTTGATGATCAGCAATGAGAACACTGCTACCTTACATTTGTAGTGCACTTTTAGCTTTTCAGTACATAGCACTACAGCGTTGTTCCTTTGAAGCTGCCGCTGCTGCTTTCAATGCACCATGTATGCTCTACAATAAAACGTTGGCCTCAACAAGGTTTTGTGCCAACAGTAGATTGAAGGTTTTACGGTAGGGCATTTCATCTTGTTTTAATACCACTGTGGTGAAAGCTTATCCTGTGTTTCCATATTTGCTGAGCCAAGCTAACCCACAATTCTGCACTCTTAAATTAGCACCTGGAGGCCTTCTGCACCTTTACACCACAGTTTCAGCTGCACAGTGCCAAGTCATGAGAGTGATTTGCTCCTGCTGCACATGTCCTTCAAAGTGGGCTCCAAAATGACCCCTAAAAAAATAATAAGCCAGAGGTACGGATGTGATTATGGACTTGAACTTTTCTCTCGCTTTTTAAGAGGGCCATTATGCATGCAGGGAAAGGCAGGGGGGAGTCGGAGTCAAGGCTTGTTTACCAGCATCATCCCTCATCCATCTAGATGGAAATGAGCGCGGACCTTTAGAGTGACACTAGCTTCAAGAGGCTCCCAAACCTGACTCACTCATGCAGATCCTTGTGTGTTTATAATAGCAATGCACTCAGTTTGGCTGGGGGCTTGGGAAACCACCTCTGAACCCTGTAATTGCTGTTCCCTGGGGGAGATGTTTTTGTGAGTGTGTGTGTGGTTGCATGTTGAATTTGAATTTGTATGCATATATAAGATGGTGTGTGCTATTGGATGTGTACAAGTGGCCAGTGAGCAGTCCTTTAGCTATCATCACGCCCTGACTTTCGACCACAGACTGACTCCCATGGGACTATAAAATTCCCCCCCTAAAGTGCAGGATGAACAAAACGACGGTAAACAAAAAAAACAACCTGAAACTGTAGTTCATGGGGTTCACAAAAGGGCGTTAAAGCAAATGCCCAAAGTCATATATTTTGTGAATGAAAATGGATTTATCCTTAACTGCTCCTCTTTCCTGCATAGTTTGATATCACCGGTATTATTCTCTCTTGAAGAAGCCGGATGACAAGCAAATCAATTTAAGGGATTAGTTAGGGATGGTATAGAGCCTGATCGATTCTGACAATCGCGCCATCTTTAACAGACATCTCATCAAAGGCCCATTCCCTTTTTTTGCCATTCCATTACCCATCCACCCAGTACTTGGATCTACTGCCTATTTACCCATCCCATGCAGGAATAATGGGGCCTTCACCCCCAGTTGGATTAATCAGCCATAACCATATGCTACCGTGTGCAATTACGCTGCAATTTTGACCAAGGGAAACAGCTGTTGCCATTTGAAAGGGTGGAATAAGATTGTAATTGC